ACTGTGGATATAGATACTTTTGTACCTGTTTCCTCCAGCATCTTCACAAGGTCCTTTGCTGTTGTTCTGGGATTTATTTGCACCAAAGTACGTTAATCTCTAGGAGACATAACGCGTCTCCTTCCTGAGCGGTATGACAGCTGCGTGGTCCCATGGTGTTTATACTTGCGTACTATTGTTTGTATAGATGAACGTGGTACCTTCAGACGTTTGGAAATTGCTCCCAAGGATGAACCAGACTTGTGGAGGTCTACAATTTTTTTTCTGAGGTCTTGGCTGATTTCTTTTGATGTCAAGCAAAAGAGGCACTGAGTTTGAAGGTAGGCCTTGAAATACATCCACAGGTACACCTCCAACTGACTCAAATGATGTCAATTAGCCTTTCAGAACTTTCTAAAGCCATGACATCATTTTCTGGAATTTTCCAAGCTGTTTAAAGGCACCGTGAACTTAGTGTATGTAAACCTTTGACCCGCTGGAATTGTGATACAGTGAATTATAAATGAAATAATCTGTCTGTAAACAATTGTTGGAAATATTACTTGTGTCATGCACAAAGTAGATGTCCTAACCGACTTGCCAAAACTATAGTTTGTTAACAAGAAATTTGTGGAGTCGTTGAAAAACTAGTTTTAATGACTCCAACCTAAGTGTATGTAAACTTCCGACTTCAACTGTATATGCTTATATAGAGCATTCACTTTTATAAACGTATTATTTAGCTTGGGATTCAATCCGATCGCCCCTTTTCAGCTATGCACATATTAAAAGCAATGTTCCCACGTTAGTGGAGACTGCATTCATGATAAATGCTGCATATGCCGGCTCAATCGGAAATGGCACTATAAAGTGGATCTTTCAAGGCCCACATTGAATCCAGGCCTCAAACATTCAACAAGCGACTGTTATGCTAGGGAATGTGTCTTTAGTTGTTTGAGTACAGTCTTAATTCATGACATTAAATGCTTATTTACTAAAACTGAAAATAATTTTTTGATGGGTTCAAAGTATTATTTGAGATATATAATCATTTCACAGAAGAAGAAAACAAACAAAGAATTGACACATGCTATTTGTTTTAATCCATAAACAGAAATTGTCTTTACAAAACTTTGTTTCTTCTTCCAAAACAATTGGATATCAAATTAACAAAAAACACAGTTACACACTATTTACAATATAATAAACTCAGGCAATTTGAACATTCAAAGATAAAAAGGTAAAAGCTAAATAGCTGAATCTGCACTTTTGCAGATTACTCAAATTACACATTAAAAATGGATCACCAAAAATCTACAAATACAATAATAACCACTGTGTGTAAAAATAGAAACAACACCAAATACAACTTATTCCTACAATACAGTCCTAGACCCAAAATGAGAGGTATGCCGAATTTTACAGGTAGATAAGTGTGAGAGTCCATAATGTTCAAACGAGGCATGACCTCTGCATACACTCAGGCTGGGATTCAATCAAACCTTCACTGTGGAAAAAAATAACATTATTAATGCACATTAAAAAATAAAATGCAATTATGTTTTTCCCCAACAAGTAAACAATTTATTTGTACTCAAATCAATCATTGTTCATGGTACGGACAGAACATTATTTTCCCACAGTATGGTTTTAAATTGACACCTTCCGTTCCCTTTAACATGAGTTTGGCCTCTGAAACCTCTAAGGCAAGACTTGGAGCTGCAATTGTCAAACATCTACTTTAAAAATCTTGTGTGAACACATCATCCACTTACAATTTTATGTTCAATTTTAAAAACAGTTTAAAAAATCTAACTTATCGAACCAATTATGCAAAGTCTCTTGTCATGGAAAAATCCTTAAAAAACTAAAACATGTAACACAGACCTTTGTAAACACTTTCACCTCTTTTAAACCATCGCTTAATTTGTACTAAATAAGGACATTGTGAATCATACAACACACAAAAGACTTGTCTTTCATCCAAATTGTCAGTAAAAACAACAACCATTAAAAATCACTAGACTCAATGTTAGGAAGTTTACATTTTGTGCCAACAAATAATCCCCATAGAAACATTGTTAAAATAAATTAATTTAACAACATGTTCATATTTATTTTCTAAATTCAAAAATATCAAAATGGGGTAAGTATATTCAATGTAGTCAGAGTAACAGTACATTCTGTGGAGCTCTGTCATTGGTACTTTATACTGTGAGGAAAACTAACGGATGTCTATGAAATTCCCAGAATGTGACATTTGAAAGTTCCTAGAGAAAACAACAAACAATCCACTAAGCTAACCCTGACACATGCTACAGAACAATCTTCCACAATGGAAGAATTTGTAATTACCATGGATCAACAACTATCTAAGCATCTCTTTGAATTAGTTTTCAACATTTCACTTGATAATACACCATTAGGAATACTGGACAAGTTTAGAGGATAAATTGCACTCTTATATTTAGGAATTATTATTATCAAACAAGGAATATGTGGTGTCTTCCACTTACATTCCAATACTTTAATACATCTGATTTACACTAAATGTAAGGGGAAATACCTCAGAACTAAATACTACATTTTCACTACATGTGGGAAGGTACATTTCTACCCCTAAAAGCGCAATATGGTTCAGATAAGTATGATAGTCTTTGACACCATTTATATTTGTTGAATATAAGTTAAGTAAGTACTTGGCTTGGGAGTTTTCATTTCTAAGTGCCAATGTCAATGCATTTGGTAGGGATATGTTACCTATGGGAGGTGCTGAATGGTGCAGTAAGTTTTTTTACTCCCATTTCCCTCTTTAGCTACAGTATGTTGATTCCTGCATTTCTTTCTTTCTTTCTTTCTTTCTTTCTTTCTTTCTTTCTTTCTTTCTTTCTTTCTTTCTTTCTTTCTTTCTTTCTTTCTTTCTTTCTTTCTTTCTTTCTTTCTTTCACAACAGATGCTACTGTGTGTCAAAGGCAAAATAGGAATGTACATTAAAAACATCTATGCAGGGGAAAGAAAGTGAGAAATAAGAACTGAAGGAAACTTTGCATATGAGAGTTAATTCTACTCTCAGCTGTACAGAAGAACTCTTCAGATGTACAATTTATAATGAAATAGCTTTTTACAGAGACATTATTGAACATTCAGAGGAATTCCTGAGTTGAACCTCCCATGATGAGAGCCAGGGAGGGAGCGAGGGAGAGGGAGAGAGAGAGAGAGAAATAGATACCCAGCTAGCACATAACGTTCTGAGAACCATATGTTTCTTAGAGCTTGGTGAAAGCGTGGTTGTCCTATGGTTATTTTGCATACAACCTTTACACAACTTTATGGGAATGGTGCAGGATAGATGCTTGGCTTTGGAAGATTCTCAACATATTTAAGGAATTTGACAAGAAAAGTTTTTTTTTTTAATCCCTTTTTCGTGGTATCCAATTGGTAGTTACAGTTTTGTCCCATCCCGTATGGACTCGGGACGCGCGTCCTCCGAAACATAACCCAGCCGCATTGCTTCTTGACACAATGCCCGCTTAACCTGGAAGCCAGCCGCACCAATGTGTCGGAGGAAACACTGTACACCTGGCGAGCTTGTCAGTATGCACTGTGCTCGGCCTGCCACAGGAGTCGCTAGTGCGCGATGGGACAAGAATATCCCTGCCGGCCAAACCCTCCCCTAACCTGGACAACGCTGGGCCCAGTCGCGGCCGGCTACGACAGAGCCTGGACTCGAACCAGGATCTCTAGTGGCACAGCTAGCACTGCGATGCAGTGCCTTAGACCACAGCACCACTCAGTAGGCCCCTAAGAAAAGTTATTTTATTGGTATTTCATTACTTTAACAGAACGTTTCCTAAAAATTCAAACATGGTTACATTTCATTTCAATTTTGGTAATGTTCTAGAAACATTCTCCAACTAGTTTGACATTGAGAATGTTCTCAAATTGTTCATAGAACGTTAAGAAACAACGTTCCTCTGTGGGAATTTCAGGACTTCAGCATAATGTCTCCTACAGGTTTCCTCATGGTTCTATTTAAAGTCATGATCTCAAATTGTTCAGAGAACATTAAGAAAACTTTCCATAAAAAATTGGGAAAAGAAGAAAACTTTAGTACCGTTCTAAGAATGTTATTTAAAAACATTTACATTCCGTTCTCAGCATCAACAAAACTCTATCCTCTATCTTGTTAAGTGTGTTCAGGTGTGTTGACCGCACCCACTAATCGGCCACACCTGATCTTAATGAGTGCTTGTTTTCCTTGAAATGTGGTCTGTTTGAATAGACAAAAATTAACAGCTTTGTATGCGTAAAAAACATGGCATGCTAGCTGGTGCAGTGGACTAATTCCATGGATAGAGAAAATAAGCCTATAGGTTTGAATCTCAATGATGCCGTGTCACAATAAAATATAAATGTGTTTGCATGATTAATGTCTAAGGAAATTAATTTCCATGTGTCCTATCTGTGCTTGTAGTTCAAAGAAGTGAACCCAAAATAAGCTAGCAGTGTTATTAAAAGTCTTAATGAAAGTTTTATGGAAGTTATTCAAACACCTCCAAATAACCTATAATTTCCATTCTCAGAGCGTTAATAAAACCTCCCAGGAAAACTTTAAAGGAACCAGAGTAAAACGTTCTCAGAACCTCTCTGCAACCTAAAAATAAATGTTCGCAGAACAGGCAAAAATGTTCCCTTCTGTTCTCAGAACGTTTAACAAACGTTCAGTTTTACCGGTCAGGAAACGTATGGCTTCATTCCCACAACGAATGTGAAACCACAAACATACGTTCCCACAACTTCCAAGGAACTAAATGTGCTGGCTGGGTGGAGAGATAAATAGATAAAGAGAGAGGGGGAAGCTGCCAGTGCTATGTCATAACTGTTTGATACCTGTTTTAACAGTATTGCTGATAAGACAACTGTAGTGTCATCCTTTAAAAAACACAGATAACAAATGTATTTCAAACTTTATACATATCAAGGTAGAGATGTGTGTCATAATAACAATAAAAAAACAAATGGTTGCTAGCTATTCAGTCATTGCTAACTAGGTACAGTCCTGTCTGGGCTGTTCTTCTGTTGTGCATTTCTCAGTCATCTCCTGACAAAAATCCACCGAAACAGTGGGGCTACACACACCCGGAGACGCTCCAGGCTCCAGGGAAGACTCAGGGTCCTCCTGTCCCAGGACAGACACCTCTGTGTCCCCACCGCCCTGCCCCTTCCTAAGCCTCTGCCCAGAGCCAACATCTCTCTCCACAGGGCTTTCAGAGGGGTAGGGTGACTTGGCCAGGCTGCCCTCTGAGGTTGGGGAGCCTGGGTTGGAGGTGAGGTCGATACTGGCCATGATGGAGATGCTGTTGGTGGCAGCGGTGGGATCGTTGGGCTTGTGTGTAGGGTGCAGGGCTTTGGTCTTCTCGGGGTTCCCCTGCACCTCCCTGCATACCTCCTGGGACACAGCTTGGGACAGGTAGGAGAGGTTCTGCCACAGCTCGCCCATACACACCTTCAGCTGGTTCCTCTCACTCAGTAGCTTCTCCTTCTCATGCACCTGCAAGAAAACACACATACAGTACAGTACATGTATGTTATGTGTACACAGAGAATAGACACACAGCTTACACTCATAGAATACAAACATATAGAAAATCCATACATATACAGTGCATAACCAGTATACCAAAACCTGCTCTCAAAATATGAAAACAACGGACAGTCCTACAAATGCTAACAGTAAAGATTCACCTTTTTATTGTATGATAAATAGACCTTCATGTTAAAACAATGTACATACCAGTTTGCGTATCTCCACCTCCAGGTTCTGGATGCAGTCCAGCTTTCTCTTGCGGCAGCGCTGGGCGGCGATGCGGTTCTTACTGCGCCGCCGGATGTCATGGATGAACTCCAGCTGCTCTGAGGTCAGTTTGTGCATCTTTATCATGATCTGGAAGTCATTACGCGGAAGATTGGTGATCTGATCCACCGGGAAGGGAAGTTTGACCTGGCAGACAAATAACAAAATACAAAGAGGAATGCATTGGGGATCTACAGCAGTTTCTATCTTCTCTGGTGTACATACAATACAACTTTTACAGCGAACAACTGAAATTTGTCCTCTGCTCTAATTACTCAACTCCCCAAGATAGCACACATCTCACACACACACACACACACACACACACACACACACACACACACACACACACACACACACACACACACACACACACACACACACACACACACACACACACACACACACACACACACACACACACACACACAGTTGAAAGGAGCACAGAGTGTACCCACTCAGTCCACTAGGTGACACTGTTATTCTACCAATGGTTGTAGCCTGTACATGATACTCCACTTACACTACATTACCAAAAGTATGTGGACAGCTCCTCGTCAAACATCTCATTCCAAAATCATGGGCATTAATATGGAGTTGGTCCCCCCTTTGCTGCTATAACAGCCTCCACTCTTCTAGGAAGGCTTTCCACGAGATGTTGGAAGCTTGCTGCAGGGACTTGCTTCCATTCAGCCACAAGACCATTAATGAGGTCGGGCACTGATGTTGGGCGATTAGGCCTGGCTCGCAGTCGGCGTTCCAATTCATCCCAAAGGTGTTTGATGGGGTTGAGGTCAGGGCTCTGTGCAGGCCAGTCAAGTTCTTCCACACCGATCTCGACAAACCATTTCTGTATGGACCTCGCTTTGTGCACAGGGGCATTGTCATGCTGAAACAGGAAAGGGCCTTCCCCAATCTGTTTCTACAAAGTTGGAAGCACAGAATCGTCTAGAATGTCATTGTATGCTGTAGCGTTACGATTTCCCTTCACTGGAATTAAGGGGCCTAGCCTGAACCATGAAAAACAGCCCCAGACCATTATTCGTCCTCCACCAAACTTTACAGTTGACACTATGCATTCGGACTGGTAGCGTTCTCCTGGCATCTGCCAAACCCTGATTCGTCCATCGGACTGCTAGATGGTGAAGCACGATTCATCACTCCAGAGAACGCGTTTCCAGTACTCCAGAGTCCAATGGCGGAGAGCTTTACACCACTCCAGCCGACACTTGGCATTGCGCATGGTGAACTTAGGCTTGTGTGCGGCTGCTTGGCCATGGAAACCCATTTCATGAAGCTCCCAACGAACAGTTATTGTGCTGATGTTGCTTCCAGAGGCAGTTTGGAACTCGGTAGTGAGTGTTGCAACCGAGGACAGACGATTTTTACGCGCTTCAGTACTCAGCGGTCCCGTTCTGTGAGCTTGTGTGGCCTACCACTTCGTAGCTGAGCCGTTGTTGCTCCTAGACTTTTCCAATTCACAATAACATCACTTACAGTTGACCGGGGCAGCTCTAGCAGGGCAGAAATTTGACGAACTGACTTGTTGGAAAGGTGGCATCCTATGACCTGAAGTCACTGAGCTCTTCAGTAAGGCCATTCTACTGTTTACGTCATAAGGAACTCCTCCAACGTAAATAGTTGTCTCCATGATGTTCCCAATTGAAAGTGCTAGCATTCAGTGTTTAATGGGTCAGTATATGCTGTGTGACGTTCTGTCATGTCTCAGAGAGAGCTGAGGAGAGGCAGAGGACTTAGGGAGTGCTCTGTTTCAGCTGTGACCTTGGGGGAGGGGTCTCTCTCTCTCTCTTTATATATCTCTCTCTCAGAGCTGGATAGACATCTATATATAGCCCCTCCACTCACAAGAGTCCCATAACAAGGTTAGGATGACAGAGTGAGCTTCAGACACAGCCGTAAATCCTGTCCTTCTCTCTCTCTTGTTCTGGTTTCCCTTTTTAACTCTGCCTCCCTCTATTCAGTTCATTACTCCGATCTGTGAGTGGGTCAGAACTAAGAAGTAGGCCTCTTCTGTATCAACTGGTGTGTGTGTGTATTATATGGGCCAGGTTCTGGCCCTGGTGCTCTGTCTCCAGGCAGGGGGCTCGCATAGTGGAGTGTCCTAGTTAGGAGTGTCTAAACTGGGGGAGGGTGCCAGATGGTGGAGGGTACCTGGCCACTGTGGATCCTGGGGTGTGTGTGTCTGTTCTGTCTGAGCTAAGTGTGTCAGCGCTGAGAACTGGTATGAGCATATGGACATACACACACACACACACACTCCTCACCTCCCTTTCAGACTTGAGTGAGAAAAATCGCTAAAGCATCAACCCTCATTATGAACAGAATTTCATTTTATTAACCTACTTACACTATTTAAAAAATGAAACCTCTACGGAGCTATGTGACTGAGCGTTATTTCAATTTCCTTCCGTTCATCTAAAAAACCAGTGCCTAGAAAGTTGAATGATTCTAGCCCTGTTTGTGTAGTTTCAGCAGACATTCATTGTATTACATAAATCTCTTTCCCACACACACCCGTTCCACCAGCCTCTGACTGACTGACTCATCATTGGTCCTGAAATAGGGACTTGAATCAAACGAGGACGCTGATACATATGAGTTAATAGAAGAAGCTGCTGATTGTGTGTGTATCTCAGAGAGCAGCTGAATGACAGGCTTCAGCCCACAGTGCAGCACAGGAGGAATCATCACATTTCTCTCCACACAGCAACACGAGAGACTGAGTGTGAGCTTAAACATTGCCATGGCAACTCCTGTGGTTCTCTTGAAGTCAAGGCAGTGTGTGAAATCAAGGTCTTATCCTCAAGAGGCTATGTGGATGGATTTTGTGTATCAGTATGGATGGTGTGTATCAGTATGGATGGTGTGTATCAGTATGGATGGTGTGTATCAGTATGGATGGTGTGTATCAGTATGGATGGTGTGTATCAGTATGGATGGTGTGTATCAGTATGGATGGTGTGTATCAGTATGGATGGTGTGTATCAGTATGGATGGCGTGTATCAGTATGGATGGTGTGTATCAGTATGGATGGTGTGTATCAGTATGGATGGTGTGTATCAGTATGGATGGTGTGTATCAGTATGGATGGCGTGTGTCAGTATGGATGGTGTGTATCAGTATGGATGGTGTGTATCAGTATGGATGGTGTGTATCAGTATGGATGGTGTGTGTCAGTATGGATGGTGTGTATCAGTATGGATGGTGTGTATCAGTATGGATGGCGTGTGTCAGTATGGATGGTGTGTATCAGTATGGATGGTGTGTATCAGTATGGATGGCGTGTGTATGGATGGGCCACGACTATAGCTTTAGAGATGAATAGCATCCATTACACTCTATCAAACAGTAATCTCACAGATGACTAGTACTGTTCTAAACTCTCCAGGCTCTTCTTCCCCAGAACAATGGTTGTCAAACCACTATAAAGTCCATTCATTTACCTGTGTCTCTCTGTCGCTTTCTGTGTCTTTTGTCTCCACCACTGCATTTATAGCAGTTCATAAAGAGGAGTGATCGTAGCAATTTGTACAGAAATGTTGCCCTTTTGGTTTAAAGAAGTATATCAACCATCAGAACATAATTACCACAACATACCGTCTTAGAAAAAAGGTGCTATCTAGAACCTTAAAGGGTTCTTTGGCTGTCCACATAGGAGAACCCTTTGAAGAACCATTTTGGGTTCCATGTAGAACCTTTTCTACAGAGGGTTCTACATGGAACCCAAAATGGTTCTACCTGGAACCAAAATTGGTACTACCTGGAACCAAAACGGGTTCTCCTATGTGGCCAGCCGAATAACCCTTTTGGAACCCTTTTTTGTAAAGGTGTAGTTCATCATTTCAGCCATAACACTAACATTGTGGTCTCTCTCTGACAGATAGTAATATCTTGTCAGAGCAAACCTATTTCGAAACCCATCGCACAGATCGCATTTGTAATATAGAGTGTAGATAAAGTATTCTGACCTCAGGACCTGGCTCTCTGGCAGGGCCGGACTCACTGTCTCCCTCTGAGAAGGATCCAGATTCATCACTGGAGTTGGCCCCGTACGAGCGTTCACACTTGATCTTGGTGCGGCCCTGAGAGAAGATGGCTTCCCCCACCACCATCCCACCGCGCTCCCTCTGCTCCACCACCAGGCCAGAGCCCGACACAGAGCATGGGGAGGAGGAGAAGTCAAACTGGGGCATGTTGGAGGGCGAGTCCCCGCTGCCCCCGTCCTCCATGTAGGAGAAAGATGAGCAGGAGCTGGAGGTTCGTGTGTGGGGCTCGCATGGAGGGGAGCGGGGGGAAATCTTTATTGGCAGAGGGCAGCTGGTGGTGGGCAGGGGGTCCTGGAGGGCCGTGGTGAGGATGGTGGAGGGTAGGGGAGAGTAAGTCTGGCGGGAGGGGAGGGACTTACTAACACCTGTCCACAGGGATTTCGAGGTGATCTCCAACAGATCTTTTTCCAGAGACTTCCGGTCGGAGTAGGATTGAGACGGTGTTCCCAGGCGGTCGCACGCTCCGGAGGAGAAGATGACACTGCTGCGGCGATCCAACTCTACTTCCTGTTTGCTGACTCCATCTGATGGGAGGGGTTTCATGGTCACGCCCTCCATGTCTCCGACAGATGAACCCACTGTCCCTGCAGACACCGCCCTGAGGTCCCTTCCACCCTCCCCTTGAAATGCCCCCCTGTCCCTATCCCTGTTATGGGCTAATGAGAGTCTGTTGGTCAGTAGCTGCTGGGTGAGAGGAGTGGTAGGTAGAGTTATGGCTGGGTTGCTGAGATCCAGGAGGCCCCTCTGGAGGTAGGAGCTCAGGCAGGATGGAGAGCCTCTGCTGGGGGGACGCTCTGAGGGCTCCGGCCCCCCCTCCAGCTCCATCTCCAGGACATCCTGGCTATCCTCTGACAGTCCTGGGGGACTATCCTCTCCCTCACCCCAGGAGCGGGGCTCCTCTTTGATTCTGGAGGGGGAGAGGGGGTGAGGTTGTCCCCCTTGGCGGGTGCTGCTGGTCTCTGAGAAAGGCCCTGGGGAGGCTGAGGTATGGCAGTGTGACAAGGCGGCTGAGGTGACACTGTCATCGTCGTCATTCTCTCCGCTGTGCTTGGCGCAGGCCCGCTGGTACTTCCTGTATTTGGGGCATCGTGGGAGGTCAGAGGTCAGGCTGCTGGTGAGGGACGTGATGGTCGAGTGATTGGGCCGCCGCCTCGTCGCCGAGGATGACGTCACCCTGGGGTTCTCCGACGACGCGGAACCACCACCACCGTCCTCCTCCGTGATGAGGTCATCTGTGTTCACCGACGGCGGCAGCTCCTTGCGGCAGAGAATGCCATTGTTGTGATCAGTGGTGTCGCTGTGCAGCTGGGCCTGCAGGAAGCGGAAGCAGGAGTCCTCTAGGTTGTGAACGCCCAGGAAGTCAGCACAGCGGATCACCTCATGGATGTTCTCTCTGCTCAGAACCAGCTTGGCTGTGTAGGCAAACTGTAGCAGCGGGGCAAACCCCCTGGCTGTGACCTGGTGAGGAAAGGAGGAAATGCAGTGTTAGCATCTATTGTGTTGTTATTGGTCCTGGGGATTTTGCGTGGGGAGAAAGCAGCTGCTTACACTGCTTACACACAGGCAAACAAACCCTGCAGTGTGGACTACCCATTCAGTGTTATTTTGCATTTTAACAAACAATTGAGAGAGGGAGAGAGAGAGCGAGAGAGAGAAGGAGGAAGGAGCGAGGAGAGAGAGCGAGAGAGGAGAGGAGGAGGGGAAGACGAGAGAGAGAAGAGAGACGAGGAAGAGAGAGCGAGAGCAGGAAAGAGCGAGCGGGGAGGGAGAGAGAGGAGAAGGAGAGATGAGAGAGAGAGAGGAGAGAGAGAGTGAGGAGGTGAAGATGAGAGAGGAGAGAGAGAGAGAGGAGAGAGAGAGGGAGGGGAGAGAGGAGGGGAGAGAGAGAGAGGGCGAGAGAGAGAGGAGAGAGAGGGGAGAGAGGAGAGAGAGAGAAGAAGGAGAGAGAGAGAGGAGAGAGGAGAGAACAAATGAACTGGAGCACCTACCTCCCACACCTCCCCACTACCCCACCATCATCCCAATAAGTACCTGGGGGCTCGTCCGTCTCTCCCTCCCTTGTCGTCTTCTCCCCCTTCAGCTCGCCATCTCTCCCCTCCTCTTTAGCCTCCTAGCACCTTCCTCTTCCCCTCCTTTTCCCCCTCCTAGCCCCCCTATCCTCTCCTGTCCCTCATCATCTCTCCTGTTCTCTCTCATAGTGGCTGATAGCCAGCAGGCCTGGTGTGTGTGTGTGTGCATGCAGCGTGTGCGTGCCTGTGTATGTGTGTGTGTCTGAGTGTGCCTTTGTGTGTCTGTGTGTGTGTGTATGTGCCTGTTTATGTATGTGTGTGTGCCTGTGCATGTGTGTGCTGAGTGTTCTGAGGCTCTATTTTCAGCTAGCATCAGCAGCTGCCTCCTGTGCCTGCAGAAGCATGTCTTTATGAACACACAGAAACATGTCTTTATGAACACACAGAAACATGTCTTTATGAACACACAGAAACATGTCTTTATGAACACACAGAAACATGTCTTTATGAACACACAGAAACATGTCTTTATGAACACACAGAAGCATGTCTTTATGAACACATTGAAGCATGTCTTTATGAACACACAGAAGCATGTCTTTATGAACACACAGAAGCATGTCTTTATGAACACACAGAAACATGTCTTTATGAACACACAGAAGCATGTCTTTATGAACACACAGAAGCATGTCTTTATGAACACACAGAAACATGTCTTTATGAACACACAGAAGCATGTCTTTATGAACACACAGAAGCATGTCTTTATGAACACACAGAAACATGTCTTTATGAACACACAGAAGCATGTCTTTATGAACACACAGAAGCCAGACGAGCCTCCTTTAATGTTACTACTAGCCTTCCTAATGAATGCAGGGAAGGAAAGAGAGGGAAAACAGAATGAGAGACAACATAGAGAGAGAGAGAGAGAGAGGAAGAGATAGAGAGAGACACTACAAAGCAAAAAGGAGGCAAGTGAAAGGATGGATAGAGAGAAAATTAGTGTGAGTGAGAAAAATAGAAAATTCACACTACAAAGGATAAAGGAGGTGAGAGAGGAAGAGGGAGAGGGAGAGAGAGGATGTCTGGCGAGAAAGAGAAGAGAGAGATGTGGAAAAGAAGCCATTCAGTCGCTTGAACTCAGCTAGTGAGCACACGATGTCTGGCCGACCTCGCGGTTGTCCATGAGGAACCAAAGTATATATAAATTAACTCCAATAATAATAATAATAATAGTCCAATAATTGCACTATTTCACAACCTGCATTGAAACATGTGCATAAGTTGGGGATATGGTTTGGAGTATGCAAGTACAAAGTGCACATCTGCAAAACCACAAGTGGGCAGTCGATAATAATCCCTAACTCAATCTTCCTGGGCCCGTACAACGGGAAGATCTCCTACCCTGGACAGACCCCTCGGTGTTACATCTGCCAGGGGCTGGATCACCAGGTCAAGGATTGCCCAGAAGTGTTGGAGATGTGGAGACCTTGGACACAAATCCAGTGACTGTGAGTCTCCAAGCAAGTGTGCAAAAGAGGGCACAACTTCTTCAAGTGTCCCCAGTCTTATTTTTACATTTTAGTCATTTAGCAGACGCTCTTATCCAGAGCGACTTACAGTTAGGGAGTGCATACATTTTTCATACTGGCCCCCCGTGGGAAACGAACCCACAACCCTGACGTTGCAAGCGCCATGCTCTACCAACTGAGCTACAGGAGGCTATGCCTACAAAGCGAGGACTTGTCCCCAATCCAGCCCAGGGGAAGTGCCGGAAGAGGAGAGAGAGCGAGAGACAGAGCCACCGACCCCGACAGTGAGTTCCATCCCCCGTGCCACGACAGAGCGCGGGGTCAATACTACAGGTCCAAGCGCAGCTTAGCGGCAGATGCTAGTGAATGAGAGAGAAGCAGAGGGAGCTGAATCCAAAAGTTAGGGCGACCAGATCTCAGAGGAAGGTGTAGATGAGAGTATCCAATCCTCCATCCTCCAGGTCCAGCTGCAGTGAGGTCGAAGAGTCCTTTGAGGGCACGAGCGAGTCAGACTTCAGTATTAATTCCCCTACCCCCAAAAGAGAGAGATGACAATGAATCCCTTCCCCCCCTGCCCCCATTCCCGCCAGAGTTAGTTCCCCCCACCACTCAAGCAGGTGGATTGAAACGCCGTTCACACTTCCCAATCCAAAGCAAAGTTCAAAAGAAAGATGACAAACCAAGTAAATAATCGAAAAGAATAACAGACTTTGCAGACATCAATTATTTGATATTGGACTGCTACTTTACAGGAATGAAAATAAGAGTGATAAATGTATACACAGCATCTGATGCAAATAAGAAACAAATATTATTTATGAAACTAGGAGCTATTTATGTGTGAGATATTCAGTAACTACATGTAGGGATTTTAATACTGTGACGGAACCTAATGATCGGGTTATCAATATTCGTTATTTATTTGGTAGGCTGCTATTCTACTTGAAATAAAATCATGGGAGGTGCCAGAGTTAGGAATAGTGTGTGTTGAGCGTTTGTTTGTGTGTTGTGTGTGCACATGTTAATGTGCATGTGTGCATACATGGACCTGTGTGTCAACATTTTGATTGTATAACTTAATTTGCCCTTTTTTTTCTTTAAAACAATTACCAGTGTGTGCTGTAGTGGAATTGTTTTGTCAAAAGTAAATCGTGTCCTATGCCTAATTGTCATGATGATGAGAATTTAGAACACCTTTTAGTGAAATACTACAGAAGTAAAGAAATATGGGATCTGATGAGAATTATCGGGTTTGATGTATGTATAAATTCCAAGTCTGTCTTTCACAGTGTCTTCGATACTTACATGGATGACATTACTAAAGAGGTATGGTGGACAATATTATGCATTGACATTACTAAACAAATATTGTGGACAATAATACGCACTATGAACAGTAAAATGTGGAAGACAAGATGTCTATAAGACTATAAAACAACATTTTTGTTCAAACACTATTTATTTATTTTACAAACCAAAATGAAACTAAAAACAAGAAGAAAAAAAACTTTTATGGAAACTATTAAATCTGTAAATCATGTTATGTAATTATGAACTTAAATGTATTGATGTGAAAGTTGATTTGTATTTATGTGAATTATTTATGATTGTAAAATGTTAAAAACTTAAATATATATATATATTTTAAACAAACAAAAAATGAAATAAGCCATGCTTTCTAGTCATTAGAGGATGGATTTTGACCTGTGAAGTGGTTCAGGCATTGATAGTGATTACTATATGAGGTAGAGTCAAAGAGAATCAAATTGACAGATCTAGGACATTATATGCTAATGGCAGCCACTGGGATGTGGGCCGGGGCTGTTCCGACCGCGATTAGATATAGCAGCGGAAACGGCGGAAATATAACGTATCACTGATTCTGAAAATTCACACAGGGTTTTCAGGAATCCTGCCAACACTAGGTAAACAAGCTATTGGAATGTTTCAGTGTGACAACTGAGCAAGCTACCCGGCCGCCTCCCTCTCTCTAGCTCTCTCTCTCTAGCTCTCTCTCTCTAGCTCTCTCTCTCTCTAGCTCTCCCTCTCTCTAGCTCTCCCTCTCTCTAGCTCTCTCTCTCTAGCTCTCCCTCTGTCTAGCTCTCCCTCTCTCTCTCTGACTCACACAGACACAAAAGATAATGAATTTTGAGGACTCAATAAGATTATCTCTCTCTCTCTCTCTCTCTCTCTCTCTCTCTCTCTCTCTCTCTCTCTCTCTCTCTCTCTCTCTCTCTCTCTCTCTCTCTCTCTCTCTCTCTCTCTCTCTCTCTCTCTCTCTCTCTCTCTCTCTCTGACTGACACATCCTTTTTACCACACTATGGCAGGTATCTGAATGTAATGGAAGGGCTGTGTAATAATACATCATAACAGTATAAAACGGCCACGCCCAGGGGTGCATAAAGTCAAGTTATTAGCGCTTTCTAAGGGTTTTATACATACATATACATGTACATGATTGGTCATTACCCACCTTGTCAGACAGGCTGATGATTGGCTCCTGCTCGGGGTGTGTGTGTCCCAGCAGCACCTGTAGGAAGTATCTGCTGCTGGCTGCCAGGACGGCCCTGTGGGCCCTGATCTCCGTCCCCTCCACCACCACCGTCACATCACACAGGATGTCCTGCCGCCGCTGGTCCTCCAGACTCAGCAGCACGTTGGCACAGTGCACCGTCGACTCATACACGTACATGGGCGCGTCCCCGGACCTGACGTGGGCATGGGCCCTCTCATCTGCAGACATCCTGCTCCCGTCCTGCAGAACACACACACACAGACAAGACGTTAGTTGGATACACAGTCAATGGACCCAAAGGATGCAAAGGACCTAATTGCTTGGAGGTTTATTTTTTCTTTACTTTTTTTTTACAAATATGGAGAAAAGAAAACGCTGTCTCTTTCCTCCATACACGTACAAACGTGCCCACATGTATGCACGCACAAGCGCACAAAATGGTATTCTGTTGGAGTGTTCAGTTAGACAGGGGACATACCACAGTAATGACATACCAAAAAATATGTTTTTATCACCTCTTCGCCACTAGCTTCAACAGAGAATCCTAGATTCAACACCTCTGCAAGACAACCTGACATACATCCCCTGATCATTTCCTAATAGGATACACATGTAGTCTCTGGACCGTCTCTCTTGACCCACATTCATAGCTCAGACGTTCATGGAGATTTGGAAGCAGGCTTGTGAGATTACTAGCCTACAGCACAAACAGCATTATCTTGTTGTGCTGATACCTAGAAAAGGACAACGATGACATTAGTTAAGGGCTCTAGCGCACTACAGACAACAATGATTAAGCGTTAATTGTTTCTTTTTTTTAGAGCACATTGGAAATCATATGATGTGACAATAGAAGCATCGAAAATAAATATATTATGTGCAGGAAGTCTAAGGTAGTGTCACTCAATATGGTTCCACATTGATTCAAAGCGGTTCAATGCAGAGGCATTTCATTGTGCTCATCTCAACACTGGAGCACTTAAAGCTCCTGTAGCTTACAGACAGCTGAGGCTGCAGTCTGTCTATCTGAGCCCAGGAGTGTGTGATGTGTGTGTGTGTGTGTGTGTGTTTGTGTGTGGGTGTAAGTGTGTGTGCACTTGTGTGTGTGTGTGTGTGTGTGTGTGTGTGTGTGTGTGTGTGTGTGTGTGTGTGTGTGTGTGTGTGTGTGTGTGTGTGTGGACTCATCAGGCTTGGAGGGGTTTATTTCTGCTGAGTCACTGTGTTTTAATGTGCAAAGCCTGGAGCCAGGGGCCTGCTGCAGAGGAACAGACTCCAGGGGGGAATCTTCTCAGAATTCTAAATCATCTACTATTTGCCCTCAGGTTACCTTTATGACTAGGGGAGAAAAGGCTCACAGTAGCATCATAATATTCCCTTTCTTTGTATCTCAATAAATAAACTGTGATGCTTGCAAATATTATTAATAAGCCACTTTGGTGTCCCTCTCCTCATAATATTTTAGGTATTACAGAACTAAGTTGAATGCACCAATTTGTAAGTCGCTCTGGATAAGAGCGTCTGCTAAATGACTTAAATGTAAATGTAAAAATATATATTTCAGCATTGATATTTTTCCCGTTGTCAACATACTGTATTTGACTAGTACTATTACAGTAATACACCTGATGCCATTATTTAGTCTTGATTGAACAGATTGATTGCTCTAGTCCATAGATTATTTCATTCGTGGTCTGTGTGAGCTAAGCAGGCCAGCAGTAGAACAGAACAATTGTCTCTTTATCGGTTTGATAAATGAAGAGGACAAAACGTTTGGACAAAACCACAAATCAGCCACAGACAAAGAGCTTGTTTCCTTTCCATTACCTATTGAATCTTCTACACATTCTGTCTCTCTCTGCTCATTTACAGGACAACCACAAACTTCCCTCATTATCTTTAATACACTGATATATCAATGGAAATTTGCCATAACTTCAAAACAGTGACAATACCTTTACAATACCTTTGTGAATTAGAGTAGCTATCAATCTTATGTTTGACACTTGATCTTAGAAGTCGAATTCATTAACTCACCACAAACACAGGAGGAATATTAAAAAAAAAAAATGTTTCTGTAAACAAGCCATTGCAGGTTGTTTCATCATGTTGTCTGCTGTGTGTAGATGACATATTTCAACATCATATTTGTCTGCCAGACAGACAGCTTCTAGACAGACAGGCAGCAAACTGTATAATCATTACTCCAGGCTTCTGGGAGTCTAACTGTTAATACTTAATGAGATCCAGGGGAGGAGAGCGTATCCCCCTCCTCACCCCCTCCTTCTCATCCGATCTCGTTCCACTCCCAGCATGTCACAGTTCTGGGATCATATTGGAGGTAATTGAGCTTTGGCTGGTTCAGACTGAGGGTAGAGCTAGTTGGGTGAAATAAATAGGGTGTGAATTGAGGTTGGCAGGGTATACACAGTATATAAAGTGTTGTAGGACTGTTTTGCCTTGGTGTGCCTGTAGGTGACTGTATTGTAATAGGCTACAGTGTACACTGAGGTTGCAAAATCAGACATCAACTTAGAGATAAATATCAATCGTCATTTTTAAAGTACAACAGACTGACAAACCGGAAGAGAATTCGTCTTTCAGATGATGTGAGAAATAATAAGCTGGTGATACAACACTATTATTATGAGCAACAACTCAGTGAGGAACTGTGTGTGTGTGTGACATCACAAAGGCAATAAACAAACACATTAAACAAAGGGCACAGTGGGAGGGTCCCCCCAAGTCCCCTTTGTAGATGACTTATGAAGCTGTTTCAGCAACAACAATCAATAATTAAATATTGAACAGCTCCTCTGGGCCTCACTGTCTCTGCCTTCGGTTCAAATGAACAAGCTCAGCACTAAATAGCACAGCTGTGATAGCCGCTTAGCTAACTTCATTGTTGAAGTATAAAAACATGAGTTACCAAACCCGTTCACAGTGTTGGTTAACTCTTAATTTTCCTCGGGAGTCCACCGAATTAGGCAAATCCGCTTTTAGTTTTAATGCACCTCACTGCTGGAACAATTTACAAAACTCTTTACAATTGGATGTATTGATAAAGTATTGACTGAGATCCTTATAGCTGAGGAATGTAATTGTTTTTCTTAAATGTTGTGTTGTGCTGTATTTTATAAATAAAATTGTACATTGTATTGATCGCTGTTTTGTTTCATATCGTATTTTTGATTGTTACGTTACTGTGATCAGGGCACCCTTGTGAATGAGACCCTGGTCTCAATGGGTTAGCCTCGGAAGCTCAACTCAAAGGAATGCCACATAGATCCACATCATCTTCCATAGTTAGGGTTGCAAAGGGAGGGTATATTACTGGAAACGTTCTACGTTTACTAGTAAACTACCAGAACTTTGGTATCTTTCATGGATTTTATGTAATCTATCACAAGACATTTACTGGCCCTTTTGGGTACTTCAGATTATTACAGGTGTCTGTAATTAACTCTGGCCCTCTCTGTGGCCTTATCACATGAAATGATTAAATAAGATAATTTTTTAAATAAAAAATGTAATGACAAAGCTGTAAAACATTATCATAAATATAAACCATTAACTTAGTGAATACCATTGGTGTTTAAATGAGTGTTTCAGCATGAAATATCCTTTATATATTTTTTTACACACTTTTATTTATTTGACTATGTCAATATGTATTTGTTGTCAATGTTTTGGCATCAAACTGGTGGGAGTTGTGAAAAGAGTCAATAGTTGGAAGAGTTGCAAAGTTCATTGAAAATAATACCATTGTTGATTAGATGCTATTTTCTCTTGAACCATTTGGTCTATCTACTAGAAACTCATGGACAATATGGACACTGATATAAAAAACGAATACTATATATTAATATATATTTTAAAAGTTATTCAAGTATAAATTACCAAAGTTACGATAGATTGCCATAGATTTTCTGTTAATTACCAAAATTACTGAAGATTCCATTAACTTTGGTAAATTACCGGTAGCTTTGCAACCCTACCCATAATACCAAATCTAAAGAAATAAAAACGACACCAGTTTTTACAGTGCAATTATTTTTCTAGGATAACTTACAAAACAAAAAATGTTGATTATCTAGTATCCCTTTTTCAACCTGGAGTTTCCACAGGGAATGCACATAAACCTTTGAGTAATTTAGTGCAATATTATAACACGGCATTCGTAGTTTAAAGTGAGGCTAGCCTATATTCAATCCATCTGCATCTATCAAAACACCCACACATCTAAGGCTGCCCCCTGAGTGAGAAGAAGGAAGAAAACAACCTCATGGCCATCGGCAGATCTGATCGAAAGTAAACCAGCAGTATTATCAGCAACTAGCTCTAAATTATTTATCACAGAGCACAGAGAGTGGGGCCCCAGTCTTCCTCTGGGCTGGCAGAGAAATATGAATTAACAAACAGTAATAATTCAGGGCTACCCACTTGAAGGCCGATGTTGGTGGTGGTGTACACTATACAGAACTGACAACTGCTATGCCCTACATCCCTCCACCCTGTGTTCTTCCTGCCCTGATTATGTCTTATTTTCAACTCACGACAACGTGTGTGTGCATGTGTGTGGTGTGTGTCCATTGGGAGTGTGTGTGAGAGAGAATAAGAAAAGGAGGGTGATGAAAGTGGGTTTTATGTGAGGTGATCTCGACCAAAACACACATAGCCCAGCTCGACGGCTATGTGTGAAATCAATGTCTGACTTCTTTCTTCCAACACATATTGGGGAAGAAATCGAACACATTTGTTTTTATAATTAGTCATCAAAAGGGGCATTAGGTTGGATGAAACATCATAAAACCAGTGGCATTGAGAAAGCAAAAGGAGTTGGGCAACAGGGTCCATTACCAGGGGCCGGAAATGCACCAGTGACATCATCATCTGCGTTTAACAAAACCTCTGTTCCAGAATCAGGGTTAGGAGATTTCACTTTCAGAGGGTCAGTGAAACCCATGATATAATGTCATCTGAGGTCATACCTAACACTGTTTGTGCAAGTCTCAATCTTCTTTAATGCTATAAGTCACCCAGGCATTGTCAAGTGAAATTGGATTTACTGCAAACAAGCTCCACACTGGCCCTCCAGACAGGAAAATTGCATATTCAAGGGTTACTCGAGACGCAACTGAAGGGCGAGTCGACCTGTGCACGGCCAGCTTGTTTAATAAAGGGCCTGATTAATTTCAGATGGACTAGGTTAGAGCATACATCATCTGAAATTCATTCATCATGGAGAGGAGAGATCCTTTATTATGAGTAGGTCATGATTTAACTACAGAATAGAGAGAAAGAACCAGCGAGACATAAGGAAAAAGAGGGAGACTGTGTGTGTGTGTGTGTGTGTGTAGTAGTAGTAGTAGTAGTAGTAGTAGTAGTAGTAGTAGTAGTGGTGTAAGTTACAATCTACTCCCCTCTAGACGGACGCTGACATGATACAGTGGCTCCCATCTCTGGCCATTGACTATCAATACTCACTTCCCCCT